AAAGGGATATGTGACTAGGTATTAATGTCATGACAGGAGACCAGAATGAAGGCTGCATAGTGGAGTGGACTTGGGGGGAGAGATTGTAAAACAATGAAAGAATTTTTTCTTTACTTTTCAAAGAGCATACTGGGGGGGGGAGGGGTGGGCAGGGAGAAAAGTGCAACAATGAACAAATGGAAATACAAAGTCTCTGTAAATTTTCATTAAAATTAATAATAATAGTAAAAAAATAAGTGTCATATTTAGATTAGGGAGTTCTGGTGGCTTAGTGTTAAGGAGCTGTGCTACAAACTTAAAGGCTTGTGGTTCAAATTCACCAGATGCTGGGTGGAAAAAAGATGGGCAATCTGAGAATCTACTGTAGGGTCAACTATGAGTTGATTGGAATCCCATGGTTTATAACAACACTATAGATTAGGATTGCCAAGTATCATTTGAAGACTTGCCAAATAACACAAGGCTGTCTTTTTGGTAACGTGCAAGTTCAAATTACATTATTTTCACTAAGCTGCCAAAAGGACATACAAATATGTTAGGAAAAGGTGCAGCCAGAGTTCTCCTTGGAGACAAAGGAAACTCTCTAATACACTTTGGGCATGTTGCTGGGATGGGCCAGTCCTTGGAAAAGGACACACGCTTGGGAAGGTGGAGGGTCACAGACGGTAGGTAATACCTTCAATAAATTGGATTGACAGTGACCAACAATGGGCCCAAGTGTCTCAGAGATAATGAGGATGGCACAGCATAGGGTAGGGTTCAGATCCACTGTTCACAGGGTCTAAGTTAGTCAACTTGATGGCACTTAACAACAACATGAAATAGAGTGCTATTTTATTCTTAAATTATCTGTAACTCCATCTTTCTTTTTAAGTAAAAAATTCCTTTATAATACAAATCAATTATTAATGAATGATATTTTTCTTAGGCTTTTCTATTCCATGCAATATAGTTACTCTTTACCTAGGAGTTAAAAAGAAAAAAGCATATAAAAATTATTTATCTAAATAAAAAATTATTCTCATGCAATTATTTTTCTGAATTATTTCTCTCAAACCACTGATTTGTATTGTGGCAGGGTCTACATTCAGACTATTTTAATACATACAGTCTACAACAAATCCAACCACAAACTTCCACAGCACAGAATTTTTCTTTAAGCTTCCTAATTATTGCTATTTTCCATTAAAGAAGTTCCAACTTAATTTTTTTTCTCACCATAAAACTAATTTTAAAATATGTTTAAAACTTGCGAAGAGCTCAGAGGAAAAAATGCTTCTTAGATTAATAAAAAGAACTTGGAAAGTCTCCTACCCCTCTAATGCCTAGGAATTCATTATTATGGACAAGACATTCCAATTTTTTTTTTACCTCAATTTCCTCACAAATGATATGTATAAAGTAATTTTAAAAGGCTTTTAATTTCTTGTTAATCTACATGAAGTTTCTGAACAAGTCTGGTCTAAGTACTGGTTAAGTAAAAGGCAAAGTCTCTTTAACACTGTGTGCTTTTCCTAGAGTTTTCTGAGCAGAGGGTGAACACTCCATCCTAAAAAGAGATTAGGAAGTTTCTTTGTTTACAATTTTAGAACTCTTTTTTTTTTAAATTTTATTATTATTCTTTTGTGTGTACCGTCAAATCAGATCTGACTGGTACAGGAGGAGATTGTTCCTCCTTCTCCAGCAGAGCATCTGGTGGATTAGAACTGTACACCTCTTGGATTGCAGTGCAGCTTCTTGCCACTAGGCCACCAGAGCTCACCACAATTTTAGAACTCTTAACACTACCTTCTGCATTTCTGGTGTTAAGAAATAGGGTGAAAAGAAAAACTGTGCCAGAGGCTCCCACATTTGGAAATACTAGAGAAAGATTTTTAGGTGTCACAATGGTTGGGGGGTGTATTGAAAGGACGGGATCGGGTAGGACTATCAAACATTCTGCCATTCTGAGAATAGGGCCATTCAGGTAACTGCATCACTGAAAATACCTGCAAGTACCCTGGAAATGCAAAGGAAACCTTTCATTATGCCTCAGAAAGTTGTAGGACCCTGTTACACAGGGACAAAAAGTAGGTATCTCTATTTTGGTTATAAATGCAAAAAAATATATTAAGAGTTCTCATAAACCTTATGCCTATAGTTTAGAGTCTAATTCAGTCTATTACTTAAGAGATTGATGTTTGAGGAAAGTACTGAATATCCCATGGACTGCCAAAAGAACAAAGAGATAAGTCTTGGAGAAAGTGTACCCAGAATGCTTCTTAGAAGCAAGAATGGCAAATCTTCTCATATATTTTGGGGATGCTGTTAGGAGATGCTATTTCTGGAAGAGGGACAACATGCCTGGAAAGGTGGAGGGTCAGCAAAAGAAAAAGGAATGAAATAAGATAGACTGTCTGCAGCAATGGGCTCAAGTGTGTTTGAGATGATAAGGATGACATAAGATAGGATACAGTTCAGAATGGTTCTTCAGAGTTGCTACCAGATGGCACTTAACAATTACAACAACTTAAAAGATTAAGCAGAAGAAACAAAGAACTATTCTACTTATTGGTGTATGTCCATGACCTCAGGGGAAAAAAGAAATATGTCTAAACCAGGATGCTTTATGCAAATTCTATGAGATGATTATTACAATGTGTTGGTCCTTTTTAGAAAACCATTCTCTTCAAAACCATCACTGTACATTCCTCAACATTTTCCATATGTTTTTAGTTCTTATTATTTTGAATTAATTTCCTGTCCTATATTCACTTCTTATACCTAATGCCAAAATTATTTCAAAAAAGAGTCATAGTGATAAGAGCTTGCCCATCTTTCTTCCTCTGAGTTTCTGAAAGATTCTAACTGCCTTTGGATTAGTAGCTCAATTTCCTACAGACTACCTCACCAGAGCATATTAAACCCTTCCACGTGGCAACTATAATCTGGTTTTATCCACTTTCCTTGGAAATTACCCCAACTTGGCCTGGCTCAGTTTCATCTATGAAGGTGAACAGTATCTCAGCTGTTTTAGCATATTGCTAGAATTCCACTGGGCCCCTTTCAACAACCTAGACAACCTACCTCATATTATCAAATAATTTTCTAACTTTTCTTAATGCGAACCATCTAAAGCTCAGAGTGGTTAAGTATTTTATATGAGTTAACAGTTTCTCAAAACGTTTTCCCCCCTCCTTTCAATTCTGTTAAACTATTCTCAATCATTATTGACTGAGGCAGCAAATTTTTGACCCTTAACATAAATGTGCTTATCAATAGAGGCAGCTCTTCCTGTTTTGGAGAAACTTTAAAGAATTTTAAGAGAATAAAAAGGACTAACCTTTTTCTAAGAATCAGACTCCTTGGATTCAAGTCACCATGGACTATTTCTGCTTTGTGTAGCTTCTCCACTATTGCCAAAAGGTCATAAATAATCAACACTGTTATCTCAGGAGTAATAAATTCACTGTGTTGGAGAAGATCCTGGAAACAAATAGATTAAAATTTTCTTGACTGGAAGCCATAATACTATTTTTTATTATTTTAAAAATTATTCATATAAATCATATAAATTCTTTTAGTACATATGCTCCATATGAAAAGAATTTTTTTTAAAAACCAAACAAACCCCAAAACTTCTACATCTATTCTCAATTGCTTGAAAAGTGCGGCTGGCCATGAGCTGATAATCTTTATGGAAAGGTGACTGGTTCTTGAGAGTTCATTAGACAACACTGTTTTTGTAAAAGTTTAAATAAAGACTGACACAACAAAAAAATAAATCCCAAAAGGTTCTTGGTTAAAAGAACCTGGGAAAAGAAAATGTGTGAAGCTTTTAACTTACAATTTGATCAATCTATTTTTAGAAGAGCAACAGAAATTTTCTAATAAATTCCTTTGCTAAATGGAACATAAATCTATTTGGTATCTAAGTATAAGCTTTTAGTATTATTGCAAACCTGAATGGTGAAGCAGTTTATATATTGGTGCCAAATAATACAACCATCATGATACTGGTAACAGCTGCACAAATGATCACACTCCTCATTTAAACGTTCCTTTAACTTGAGGTTGATATAAAAGTCCCATGGGATAGGTTGAGAGGATACCTGTAAAATGTTGTATTTTAAAAATAACAGTTTTTTTTAAAAAGTTAAAAAACAGTTTTTTAAAAAACCAACAGATCAATTGTTGTTGTTGTCATCAAGTCAAGCACGACTCAAAATGACACTATGAACAAAAAGCCTGAAGCCTTTCTATGACTATCAACATTTATCAAAGGACATAGTTTCCAGAAGCATGCTATTCAACAAGTGGATGCCACTCCTGCTTCCAAACTTAGATCTATGCTATGCTTAAAAGTTAAAAACATATTTCATTCTGTCCTGGTGATACTCCACAGAATAAAAGAATGTTTTATGATAAAAAAAAAGAAGAAAAAAAAAGGACACAAAAGCAACAAAATTCTGAAAGGTGGAAACAGAATAATAAGAGACTACTTAGAAGACTTGAGGAAAGCAGAATCTAGTAAATAATAAAAGTTAAGGAACAACAGGGCCTCCATAAGAAAAAGACTGATAACACAATTACAAAATGGGCAAAAGACATGGAAAGATGTTTCACAGTAGAACATATTCGGATGGCCAACAGACACATGAAGAAATGCTCAAAATCACTGGCAATAAGAGAAATGCAAATAAAACCATAATGAGATACCCTCTCACCCCAGTAGCAGTGGCAAAGTTTAACAGGACAGCAAGTAATAAATGTTGGAGAGGATGTGGCAAGATAGGAATTCTTATACATTGATTGTTAAATGGTACAGCCACTCTGGAAGGCAGTTTGGCGTTTCCTAAGAAAGTTGAACATAGAAATTCCATAAGAGCCAGCTATTCCACTGCCTGGAATATACTCTGAGAAAACGAGAACTGAGGCACAGAGATTTGTACACCAGTGTTCATATAGCAGCGTTATTCACCACAGCAAGAACATGAAAAAAGTGCAAATGTCCAACCACAATCAAATGGATTGGGAAATTATATAGTACATTCACAGGATGGAATACTGTGCAGCACACAGGAACAATGATTTTGTAAATCTCTACCTAATTTGGGAGGGAGTGGAGAGTATTATGCTAAGTGAACTCAGTCCCATAAGGACAAATACTGTATACACCCATTATTGTAGAACCAGTATGAGGATCCAAGGGGGGAGGGAAGGTGGGAATAGAGGACTGAGAATGGGTGTGTGTGTGCTAATCATAGAGGTGCACAATTTGATGGGTGAAGGGAGGGGTGGGTAAAGGAAATGGAAAAAATCCAGTTTGAAAAACAATGTATATGAACTTTGTAAGTAAACCAGTATAAAATAAAAATTTTATTTAAATGAAAAAGAAAAAAACCCACTAGGTAGGAACTTTAGGGGTCTAATTTATATTAGTGGAAAAGAGGGTACAGATGATTGCGCCTGCTAAAGAATATAATCAATGTCATTAAACAGTAGGTACTTGTAGTAACTCATTGAAGCAGTGTATGTTTTCAGTGTATATATTCTCAAGAGCAATAATAAAATGTTTAAAAAAGAAAAAAAGTTAAGGAACAATCAAATTTTAATCACAAGATCATTTCCCTATAATATATTGATGGCAACTTCTCCAAAAATAAGGATGAGAGTAAAGTTAATACAGGAGTGATTGAGCCCTGTTTAAGTTTCCTGCTCTATGTAGCCCAGTCTAGCCAACGGTCTTTCTCTCATTTCAGGACAGAACTTTATCTCCTTGAGTGTATGAAGAAAAGAGGCTCTAGACTAGAAGATACCAGGGTACTACTGAGGTGGAATGCTGTATGAAAAACAAGGGGAAATTTATAGTATCAAGTGCTAAAATGCAACTTCCATCGTCTTTCCCTAAAGAAATTCCCCCATTCAGCTTTTATAAAGCTAGCAATCAGACTTAATGCTCCAAGCAAGAAGTGAGACTGTAGAGGGTAGACAGTAGTAGCTCAAATCAAAAGTCCAAGTGAAAGAAAGCATCTTCCAGGGAAGTCCACAACTGATAGAGTTTCTAATTAGGCTTCTGTCTCACACTTACATATAAACAGAAAGCCAAAGACTTAATGAAAACCTCTAATATGAAAGACACATCAAAACAGACCAAAGTAATTAGCAGGAAACAGATGATGCAGGGGAAAAGGGTTTTTAAAAGCATCATTAATATTCTCAGAGATTTAAAAAAAATTAATCTTTGAAATGAATACCAGCAGAACACTATAAAGAACAGAATGCCACAAAAAACATTCTGAGAATAAGAAGAGCATTTATAAATGAAATATAAGTGACAAAAAGGAAAAGGACTGAAGATAAAGCTGAGAAAATGTTCTAAAAAATACCGAAAAAAGAGAAGCACAATAGGAGGAAAAAGATAAGGATCTTTTAAAAATTTCAACTCAAGGGCCCCGCCCAGCGACTCGGGAGAGCGCATGCGGGAGGGGGCGGGTGGGGAAGGATCACTGGCCAGATCCCGAGGTGAGGCTTGCGCCCCCACCCTGGCCCCCAGCGCCCACCCGGTTGGCCCGGCCCAGCCATGATCATGGCAATCCTCATTTTCAACAACCTGGGGAAGCAGAGGCTCTCTCTCCAAGTTCTACCAGCCTTACAGTGAAGATACACAACAACAAATCATCAGGGAAACATTCCATTTGGTACAGAAGAGAGATGAAAATGTTTGTAATTTCCTAGAAGGAGAATTGTTAATAGGAGGATCTGACGACAAATTGATTTATAGACATTATGCAACATTATATTTTGTCTTCTGTGTGGATTCTTCAGAAAGTGAACTTGGCATTTTAGATCTAATTCAAGTATTTGTGGAAACATCAGACAAGTGTTTTGAAAAAGTCTGTGAACTGGATTTAATTTTCCATGTAGACAAGGTTCACAATATTCTTGCAGAAATGGTGATGGGGGAGGGGGGAATGGTTTTAGAGTTCAACATGAATGAGATTGTTACACAAATTGATGCACAAAATAAACTGGAGAAATCTGAGGCTGGCTTAGCAGGAGCTCCAGCCCGTGCTGTATCAGCTGTCAAGAATATGAATCTTCCTGAGATCCCAAGAAATATTAACCTTGGTGACATCAGTATAAAAGTGCCAAACCTGCCCTCTTTTAAATAAAAAATGCAAAAGGCTACTCCCAGGTAAAATCCAGGGGGGGAAAGTCATCCAAGTTTACCATGCAGTTGTTTACCAAAAACAGAGGAGGAGAGTCTTAACTTTTGCTCTCAGATTTAAGTCAAGGTACTGTATAGAAATTGTGTAAAACCAGTATGTGAAGATCAATGTTGCTTTTCTTGCTCAGTGATTTTAAAGAAATTGAATCGTTTCCGTGTGATTTTTTTTTCTTTTCTAAACTGCATTCCTATGCCCACTTAAGGCATGCCTCTTATATATTGGCTTCTACAGTATTTTGAAAGTGTTTGAGATATTTAATTATGTACAACTCCAAATGTTGATGTTTTGTATGGATCACAAGTACAGCATTCCTTAATTCTTTCTGCTATTTGTCATAATTGTTATTTAAAAAACCAAGTATGTATTGCATGAAAACATTCTGACCTTTTTCTCTTAGTTTAAATAAACTCCAAGGTAACTGGACTTATGAAGCACTTTTCTGTTTGCCTGGTATTTACTTTAGCAATAATTTTTTTTATGTCCTTCTGACTCAACAAAATAAATAAAAGTATATTTTATCACTGTTAAAAAAATTCAACTCAAACTCAATGCCGTTAAGCCAGAACCAACTTAGAGCTGACACTCCACCGAGTTTGCCAGCTATTACTCTCATGAGAGGAGACTGTCCATCTTTATCCTGTGAAGGAGCCTTTTCTATGGTGGCTATGAGAGAGACAGAGAGAGGGGGGACCAG